ACACCTATGATGCACTAACCGTACACGAGGCTAAGACAGGGCAAAAAGACCCAGAAGGTAGAGCAAGGGACCCAGAGGCAGACACAAACTATGCCAACTGCCAGAATGCTCCAGACCTCTGGCAACTTCCTCTGTGAGAGATGATGACAACAGCACCCATTCCTCACAAGGTGTTTGAGAAAATTACATAAAACCAGGCAGATCATTAGATTGTACGGAGCATCAGGGAGTTGTTAGTCTGTTTTCCAAATACAGTGGGGCTCCTACATACCACACTAGGCCAGACTAGCTCTCTGAGGCTGTGGTACCCAGAGGGGAGTAGAGGTGGTGCCCGCCCTGGCTCCCTCTACCCCCAGGGCCGCACCTGCAAAAGCTGAGGATTCTCTTGGCCCAGCTGCTGGAGCAGGGCAGGCAGTAGTGCCGGGTTCTGCTGAATCACCTGCCGCATATTCTGGAACTGGGGCTGGTCCCGCAGGAACTCCAGGGGGTTCTCTCCTGCTGGCAGGAGAAAGGTGTGTAGTCAGACACCACACTGGACTCCCAGAAGTTTGGGGGCAGGGAGTCAGATGCCTTGACAGCAGACACCCCACATGTACATCTCCCAATTCACTCAGCAGACACCCCACATGTACATCTCCCAATTCACTCACCTCCTTCTGTGGCTGGCTGCTCCGACACCTGGCTCTCCTGGACAGAACCATGTTCTGGCTCGGGACTCCCAGGAATTCCCTGTCAGGGGTCCTATTTAGTTCTAACGCATAGACTGCCCACTGCCTCCCTTCTGCATGTTCAGCCCTGGCAGAAGACAGGTGAAGCCTTGGCCCTGCCCTCCACAGGCCCACCCCACCATTCATGCCCAGGCTCTTACAGGAAGACTTTCCCGGTGGGAATCACAACCCAAAGTCTTCTGAGGACAAAGTTTTGCCTCTCTGACCACCCATCACAGCATGTAAGCCCATGTACTCCCTTGAGGCCTCCCTAGGAGGCAGCAGCCCCACCTCACCGTGAGTAGATACTCCACGGCTCGGTGGGGGTTGTTGTAGCTGGCTCTCAGGGCGGCCACGACCCGCTCCCTCTCATAGCCCATGGACATGATCTCTGTCAGCATCGTCTCATACTCAGAACCAGTCACTGTGGAGGGAGCAGCAAGGTCTGGGTCACCAAGGAGGGAGAAGGGCAGTTCCCAGGCCCCCCACACCCACACAAGGCCCCACAGCTGGCTGGGGCACCCAACTGCTTCTGCCCCAGGGACCACCCACCCACCTAGTGTGGATGCCGCATCTTCCTCTCGCCCGCTGCTACCTGAAGAAGGAACAGAGCTGCAAATTCAAGAGAGAGAAATCGGACCCTGGCTTCTGGCGGCTTGCCCTCCCCCAGGTATGTGGAAACTTGTATGTGTCAAAATGTGCTGGGAAGACAGGGCCCAAGCTGGGGCTTCTGCTCCCTGGCCTTACCCTGACACGGACTCCGGGGATGTCGTGGGGACTGATTCCTCCGATGGGCTCTTGTCCTCTCTGGCAGTAGGTGGGGGATGGGACATGCCTGAGGCAGGGGCCGGAGGGAAGGATGTGGAGGACTCCGGGGCACCAGTGGGTGAGGCCTCTGGGGGTACTGAGGTGCCTGGGCTAGTTTTGGCCTGTGACACCCAGAAAAAGGAGCAGGCATCAATATCCCTATCTAGCCCCAACATCCCATTCCGTCTCAGCCCCGCCCTATTCATAGCTAATCTCTCCTGGGCACACAGGCTCTTTGTCAGCTCCCCAGCTAATTCACTCACCCTCCCAGCCAGCACACTTCACCCACCTTGGTCACCATAACGACCACGAAATTCTTCTCATCAATGCGATAGTCCCTGATGGGAACGTCATCACTCAGGATCTTGCCAGCATAGATGAGTTTCTGTCCAGCCACAGGGAAGGCATCACGACCCTTCTCAGCTTCTATTTTCTCCTTTAGCACCTTCACCTGGAAGGAGAGGAACACTCATTGCAAACCTCAAGACTCTTTCTTGATGGGGGGACGGGCAGAGGAAGGGACTGCAGACCTCAATGGCAGAGAAGCTAAGCTTCATAGTCAAGCATGCCAGATCCCACTATTCAACGAAGTATTTACCTAACCCTTATTACACGCCAGGTGCTGTTCTAGGAATTGAGCACATAACATAGAAAGGAACAAAACTCAACATAATTCCCTGCATCTGTGAAGGTAACACTAATGCAAGGAAAAGTGAAAACAAATACAACCTCAGACAACGTAAAATGTGATGAAAAGTAAAACAAAAAGGAAACGAGATTCCTCATTCCACACTGCTGACAGTGCTGTTTGCCAAAAACATCTTATACAGACAGGACTAACATAAGTGTGTACGTACCGCTTTTAAAGCTTCACTACTGCATGAAGTAGATATCATTACCCCAGTTTTATATTTGAGGAAACAGGCACAGAGAGATTAAGTAGCTTGCCCAAAGTCAAACAGTTGGCATGATCAAAAAATATGAGTGTTTCCTTTTCTACAAAACGTAGAGTTCAATGTCTCCATGAGGTAGTTGTGCAAAGCGCCAAACACACATTCAATGTCTGTTGGGTCCTAAACCTCTTTTCAGCTAAAAACGCAGTGCAATGTTTAGACCACGGGCTCTCACATGAGACAAAAATCAAATTTGAAACCCCGTCTGCCATTACTTGCTGTATGTGACCGTAGCAAAGTTCTCTTATTTCTAAATTCCCACATCTGTAAAACGGAGTGAGTCAAGAGTGCTCAAATGATGTCTGTTTTGCAACTTTAGTAAGATAACACAAAATTGCTCCGCTGCTGGTAAAGAACAAACCGCCAGCACAGACCACTGAAAAATCAGGCCGTTTATTATCATTATCATCGTCACTGGCGTCACCACTCCCAAATGTGGCCACCAACGTCCCGAGAAGACGCCTGCAAAGCTGGGAACTCGGAGGCCCGGTCCCGGAGAGCGTGGCCGGGCCGGGAATCTGAGCCTTCGGCTCCCGCGACCCGCGAGGGCGCTGACATTGGAGCCGGGCCTGATGGGTGCCCCGGGGGTGGGGCCTAGTCTGGAGACCGGCCCTTGAGCGCCATCAGCACAAGTCGCCGGGGGCTGGGCCCAGAACCACAGGGAGGTTCGGGAAAGACAGGCAGGCTGGGACGGGTGGGCAGAGCCCTGCCCGCGCTGTCCTCCCCGCCCCTCCAGTCGGGATCCCGTCCTCCCCGCCCCCACCCCATCCCCCGGCACCCGTCGTTCCCGCCCCCGGGCTCCGGTCCAGCTCCCACCGTCTCGTCAGGCTCCATGCGGATTTTGAAGGTCTGCTGCTGCAGCGTTTTGAGCGTGATGGTGACGGCCATGGCGGGGCCCGAGCGACGCGGCGGCCCCGGGATCCTCACACAACATGCAACTCACGCCGCCGCCATCTTAGCGCCCAGCCGCGCCGCGAGCCGACCGCTTCCGGGGCAGGAGGTGCGCACGCCGACCACCAGAGCACGTGACCTCCTCCCCCCCTTAGCTTTGGTGGGCATGCGCGAGAGGCTTTTGGCCAGGCATGCGCAGAGTAAACTCGGCTCCCGGAGGCAGCTTCTCATTCAGCACGCATATACGTCACGTGGCTCCCTGAGAGTGACGCCATGCCCGCTAGCGGTGACGTCATACGGCCACAAAATGGCTCCAACGTCCCCCACTTTCATGATCTTGAGTTTGTTGATTACATCGAACAAAAATTTTCATATACTTGTTGTAGACATTTGTATTTCTTGTACAAAGGCTTTTTTTGTCTCCCAAATGACTTTTGTTCTAGTGTGGCTACCCTCAAAGGAACCCTTCCTCGAGAACTGGGAAAAAACACTCAAAAGGTCACCAACAATTAGTTTAAAAAATGAAGGATTAGTTGGCTGAAGGTGAAGATGGTGCTTTGGGGGACTGGATGGTGGCAAGGCAGAGTTCTCTCCCAGTTACTGGGTGGAGGCCCTTCCATCCAGAACTGACCATTACCTGCCTCCAAAACTTTTTTTTTAAATTTCTTTTTTTATTTATTTATGATAGTCATACAGAGAGAGAGAGAGAGAGAGAGGCAAAGACACAGGCAGGGGGAGAAGCAGGCTCCATACACCGGGAGCCCGACGTGGGATTCGATCCCAGGTCTCCAGGATTGCACCCTGGGCCAAAGGCAGGCGCCAAACCACTGCACCACCCAGGGATCCCTCCAAAACTCTTTATAGTTTCTCACTCAACATAAGCCCTGCACCAGGGAGTTACCGGACACCTCACCCATTGCCCAACTGTAACCAGGTCCTGCTGTTTTTCCCTTCACAGCAGGCAGAGTCTATAAGTTCCCACCACAGTAGGCCAGGCTGTTGAGGGCTTTTTGTCTCTCTCCTGTAACAAAGGACATAAGTTCCAGGCCACCTGCTGGACTTCAGTGGCAGCCATAGTAGACCCCAAAAGAGATGGGCTCTAAAAAACCTAGACCTTGTTGGCCTGTCATCTCTGCACCTTCCTTGAGGCCATCTCTTTCCAAGAATTCAAGGATTACCAACATGCTAGATCTACCATATCTGAACCTATATTCTTGATTATAAAAGGAGTAACTTAATTAACCCTGACTGGTATTAAGAATACTTGTTTAAAATAGTCCAATCATCCTAGTCTTGCTCTTTTAACAGTCAAGAAGTATATACGGTTGAGTGTAAAACAGATCTCATGAAATGGTGCTATGGTGTGAGTTCATAGCCCTGCCCTACTCCTTACATTTTGGAGCTTAGCCTCATCAAACTGAATGGGGCAAACTCAAAACAAAGCTCAGTTTGGCACAAAGACTCAATGAGTAATATCTGGAGTCTTTGTAAAGGCGCTTAGAACACACTCTTCTCCCACTGGTTTGAGGTTGTGGGGGTAAGCAACAGACCCTGTAGCCTTAGGGGACATTCAACCAACACTTTAGCCAATGGAAAATGAGCCTTACTCGAGAGTCACCTCCCCCAGAAGGAGACACAGGAGGAAGACACAAAACTTAATTTAATAGAAATCTTGTTTGTAGTTCTTACATTCTCAGTGTGAGCCGAGCTGGAACCCGCTGCCCCACCCAGAAGTGGCCCAGTCCTGGGAGCAGGGAAGAAAGGGAGGTGGTAGGTGGGGATCAGAGCTCAGGCCCTAGGAGCCCTGTTCTTCCTCAGTGCTGGGGATGCCACCCTCTTCTGCACCCCCCCCCCCCGGGATCCAGGAAGGTGAGTGGATGGAATCTTAGGGCTGGGGCTTCTCTTCCACACTCCCCCTGCCCCCTCAGGTTGGAGGAGAACTAAGGGATCAGAGGAAAGAAGGGGACAGAGGAAGGCAAAGATGTCAATCAAGAAAGATGAGGATCAGGAACAAGGACTAAAGGAGAATCAAAGACAAAACACGTTTTTTTAAAAAAAAAAAAAAAAAAAAAAGAGGGGAGGAAACAAAACCAAAATCCACCCCAAATCAGAACCCGCCTGGAAAAAATGAAAGTTCTCCAGTCTCATAGAGACATTATTTGGCGCAGCCTGCTCTGCGGCGGGAGCGCTCAGGCCTCAGTCCAGCCCTAGAGGCAGCAGTGTAGCCCCTACAGCTCGTCCTTGGCCTGGCCAGCGGCAGCATCATCCTCTTCTTCTTCCTCCTTGTCATCCTCGTCCTCCTCATCCTCGTCCTTGTCTTCCTCATCTTCCTTGTCTGCCTCCTCTTCTTCCTTGCGCTTCTTGTCCTCCTCCTCCTCCTTTAGCCTCTGCTCCTCATCCTGCTTGTCCTTCATCTGCTTCTCTGCCGCCTGCACAGAAACCACACAGCTCAGGGCCCAGCCCCCCACCACCAGACCTGCCCACTCCCAAGCCCAGGACCAGACCCTGGTCCCACCTTCGTGACACCCCAGGTCTCATTTCCAAACTCCTCTGCATACGCCTCGTCGTTGGTGATGAGGAAGTTGTCAAAGATAGTGCCAGACTTGACCTGGAGGACAGGAGAGTGGATAGAGGGTGGTCAGGGTGGACACTTATGTCCCTGGCCTTGGACAAGCCCCCCCGCCATGTTCCCATGACAACTACACAATGCCCTTTGATTTCTACATCTGTAAAACAGGATCTCTCAATATCTTGTTCAAATGTTTTTCTGGCACCTACTACATGCCAGACACCATTCCAGACACAGATTGTTTACTAGTGAATAAAACTGACAAAATTTTAAAACATTTCATTTCAGAGGAACCATTTTTTTTCTAGTAGTCACATTTATTATTTACTTGACTTTTTTTTTTTTCCACTAGTAAGCTCTACTCCCAATGTGGGGCTTGAACTCATGCCTGTAAGATCAAGTGTTGCATGCTCTACCAACTAAGTCAGACAGATAATCTCATTAGAAAAATAGTGCCAGGGGTATCTAACCAACTTCTAACTGTTGAAGGCAGTTAAAAAGTTTGTTTGCATAAAGGAACTTAGAAAGGTATCTGGCACATAAGCTGAACCTCAAATTGGGTGCCGTGAGAACTCCATAAAAACAGACCAGATTATTATTCAAGAAAAGCACCAGTTTTGGCTCAGAGCTACCTGGGGTTGAACATTTATCATCCCTTTCCTCCTTAGTGACTCTCAACATTTGAAGTGCTCCATGAATCCCTTCTGTTTCTCACCTGCCAGAGATCTAAGCCCAGAACAGCAAAGTTTTCATAGGCATAGATGTTGCTATCAGGAGAGTACTCAGGGTTGTCGATCTCTGGGTGGATCCAAGTGCCCTTGTAATCTGGGTTGTCAATCTGCCGGGGCTTCCACTCGCCCTGCAGAAGGGAAAGGGAACCAGCGGTTGAGTGGAGGTCAGTGTGCTCCCCACTGTGCGCTCCCACCCTGCTCAGAGATCCAAGCTCACCTTGTACTCAGGGTTCTGAATTACAGGTGGTTCCCACTCTCCATCCATTTCTTCATCCCAGTCCTCTGGCTTTTTAGCATCAGGGTCAGGGATGTGCTCAGGCTTGTCCCAGTCCTGAGGGAACACAAAAAGGCCAGTCAACCCAGCTGTCCTCTACACCCTCCTCCACATGGGGAGCTTCTGCCCAAGCACCAACCTCAGGCTTGGAGTCTGTGGGGTCATCAATCTTGGCCCGCTCGTCCCAGTCTTCAGGCTTCGAAGCATCGGGATCCTTAATCTTCTTGGGAGGCAGGAAGTCCCAATCATCCTCCAAGGAGCCTGACTCCACCTGGCTGTTGTCAATCTTCACCTCATAGGTGTTATCGGGCCGCACAATCAGCGTATACAGGTGTGTGAATTCATCATCCTGAAGAGGGTGGGAGATGAGTGGCCCCGCCCATCAGGCTTGGCCTCTGAGGCTTCCCTATCAGCCACTTGTCACCACCCCCAGTCACACCTTGCAACGAATGTCCTTGTTGATCAGGACGTTCTTGCCCTTGTAGTTGAAGATGACATGAACCTTCTTGGTGCCGGGGCCACAGATATCCGGGCCTAGGTAAAAAGTGGGTTTAGTTAGAGCAAGAAACTGCCCACCACTGTAAAGCTCCCAACCTTTACAAAAGAAGGCCTGGTTCTTAAATGCAGATCTGTAAAGGGTTACAGGACAGGAATCATACCCTGACTGGTTCTAAGGAGCTGAAAGTGGAGCCTTTTAAAAAGGAAAAACAGAAAGAACAAAAAATAACCTCTGGAATTTAATGCCCTCACTGGAAATATCAGGAAAGAGCTACAGAAAATCCCGTGAACTACAAGTTTCAGACCAATAGTAACAATGCAATGTCCTCAGCCTTCCTTGCAAAAACAAGCCTTAACTACACAAGTATCTTCCCATGTTCTCAACACTACCTGTGGTGGCCCTTAAGGAACCCAGATTTAGGTCTCCTTCCAACTAATCAAAGGTCAGCGCCAGGGCGGGGTCCCTCACCAAACATGATGTTGTACTCAGAGTCTCCGTGCATGTCCGTCTGGTCCAAACCATCTGGAAATAGCTTCACGTAGCCGCCCCCACAGTCGATGTTTTGCTCATGTTTTACGGTGAACTGCACCACCAGTGTCTGGCCTTTGTTGCTGAAGGGCTCAAATCTGGCCGACAAAGCGTAAAAGCGGGCATCCTGGCTTGTCTGCAGCCCTAGCAGGAGACCATAGTGAGGTCATGGCTCAGCCCCAAGCTCCAGGGACCCTAAGCATTGGAGTCAAAGAAGACTGCCCCTTCCTCCCCATGCCCTGCTCATGGGGATACCCACGCTGTGTGGCATGCACGGCTTCCTCCAGGAAGTCCTCCTGAATCCCAACATCCACCCGTCCCAGGCTCTTACCTTTATCCTTCTCCTGGTCACCGTAGAACTTGCCGGAACTGAGAACAAATTTACCAAAATCTGACTTGTGTTTGGATTCGATCCAGCGGTCGGTCCACCCGTCTAGGGGATCAAAGGGGCAGGTCAGTGCGGCCGTACTGACCTCTCCACACAGAATAGCTATCTGCCAATGGCCTCAAGTTGCTGAAGACTGGAAAGGAGCTATCCCCTCACTGACCCCACCCCAACCTCTAGTTTGACATCTTCGATGGCTTAAGGGCTCCTCCGGCGAACCCTAACTCCCGCCGCGGGAGTCCGCTGTACCCTCGACGCTCCCCAGGGACATGGAAGGAAGGATCGCCTGCGGCTCTGGTCCCTGGAGGCCACCGTATTGGTCCTCTAAGCAGTAATTACAGGGGACAACGCAGATCTAGGCTGAGGGGCCGCCCTCGTCGTCGGGGCGGCCTCGAGACCGGGCCAGGCCTTACCTCCGTCCAGAAACTGCTCCTTGAAGTAGATGGCGGGTTCGGCAGCGGCCAGGCCGACGAGGCCGAGCAGCAGCGGTACGGGTAGCAGCATGGCGGGGCGAGGGGGCGGCGGCGCACGGGCCCTTTAAACCTCTCCTCCGGCGGCGGCTCTGCAGTAGGGACGGACGCTACCGCCGGCCGCGCGTTTTTATACCCTACCGCCCCTCAAACCAACCTGGCCCGGCCTCTTGTCCCGCCCTCCGCACCTTATCATTGGTCTGCGGCCACGACCCTGACTTTCCATTGGACCGCTGTCGTCTGAGCATGTTAGGCTGTGCCTCGGAACGCAGGGTTCCCAGATGGCCGATTTCTATTGGCTACACAACTGGCCAATGAAGGTCGACCACGCGTTGTGGGGGCCGCCCACCGGTGTGGTGGGGGCCTCGAGCCCCCTCTGCCCAGGTCATGTGACCAGACCTCGACCCACCCCCGCCCTTGCCCGCGCGCTTAGCTCCTGGACTGGGCGTTTAAAGAACGCGCGCCAGTGCCGGTGTCACCTCGCAGGACCTGGACCCCGCTCCAGCTCGCCCTCTTTCATCCCCTCTGCGGGGAGGTGTGGGCAAGGTTTTCCTAACCACTTTCTACTCTGCAGCTGGGGAGCCCCTATTCCCACACGCTCGCTCTCGATCTCGCCCTCCCCCGCCCCAGGCCAGGATGGGACAGAGGGCACCAGAATTCAGGGGCTGGGGCTCTGGATCTTCATTTCACTCCAGAGCCACAGCCTTGCAGGCTAGAGAGTTCAGTGCCAGCTCTCTCCTCTCTGGCCCCTAGTGGTCCCTAGTGCCGTGACAGCCTGTCAGACTGCTGTTGAGTGACTGAGACGAGTCATTTAGCCTCTGAAATCACAGGAGCCCCGAAGAGGCTAGGAGGAGCACCCTTGGCTAGGTGCCGTTCTACAGAGCCGCTTTCAAAACTGTTAGGGTTGTCCTGGGACAAAAGAAAGGAAACCTAGAAGACAAAGATGTGACTATAGGCTGTGGCTCCTAGAGTTTGGTAGCGTTGTTTGTCTGATTGCAGCCTCTCCTTTAAACCTTCCCTCAGCCGGTAAAGGGGTCGCTGCCTGTGGTTCTCCCACAAACGGCCTGACTTTTGCAATTAAACGGCTAAAGAGGAGAGGAGGGGGGTTCCGTTGAAGAAGAAAAAAATGAGACAGATGGTGGAGAAGATAAGGTCCGAGGGAGATGGGCAGGACCCCTGAGTCTAGAGGCTCAGAAGCCAGAGGCACGTGACTGACACCGTGTCCCTCCCCGCAAGCTGCAGGAAGCAGGAAGGCACTCTGGGGGTTTCCCAAACTAAGCAAACAGGCCCTGGACCTGGGAACTTGGAAGTGGACTGGGGAAGGGGGTGGAATCCTGGCAAAAAAGCAGGGAAGGCATGCTTCCCTGATAGTGGTGGGAACTCAGAAAAAAGAAGAATGAGGAGTCTTGGAGAAGTTGGGGTTCTGCCCCAGGCAGTATCCAGTATCACTCAACCTGCATGAGGAGCCAATCTGGGGTGACCACTCCAAGCCTGCCACTGACCCTCCCACCTTCCCTCCCTTCCACCATATGTCACGCATGCATGAGCTTGGTGCTTCCTGCTTGAGGGTAGACGCTGTAACTACCTTATTCACTTCATCCCCCAGTGTCTCTTGAAGCACTTGGCACAGAACAAGGCTTAAAACCTGCTGTGTGAGAGAAAGAAGGAAATTGGAGCAATTAAACAAAAAATGAGGTAAGTGCTTCAAAGCTAAGAAGGGACTTTGAGGGACACATCCTGAATTTTTGTTAGGACCTCACTATGGGGTCAGGATTGGGTGATGTTAGTAACCCCATTTTCCAGCCTCACATAATAATTATGTTGGTTAAATGAGTAAAGATGTTCTGCTTACAATAGTGCTTGTCACATGGTCCATACTCAATTTAGTATTAGCAAGTACACATACATGTGTGGGCAGTATTTCGCTTAAATCTCACAATAACCTGAATTTATATCATCTCTATCCAGGCAAGGAAACAGGCACAGAAAGATTAAGCGACTTGGCTGAGTAGCATAAATGGGATTAGAATCTACTTGCACTGTTTCCTCTAATCTCCACTGGCCACCTGTGACTATTGACCAAAGGTAGCTGGTCTCAATTGAGATGTGCCATAAGTGTAAAACACAACAGATTTTGAGACTTACTATGAAAAAAGAACAAAGTATTCCATTAGCAATTTTATAATAAGTATTGAAATAGGGATGCCAGCAGTTGAGCATCCGCCTTCAGCTCAGGGTGTGATCCTAGAGTTCCAGGATGGGGGTCCCACGTTGGGCTTCCTGCATGGAGCCTCTGCATATGTCTCTCCCCCTGCATATGTCTCTGCCTCTCTCTGTGTCTCTCATGAATAAATAAAATCTTGAAAAAAAAAGTACTGAAATGATAATTTGGACATACTAGGTTAGGCAATTTTTTTAAAAGATTTTATTTATTCATGATAGACATAGAGAGAGAGAGACAGAGGCAGAGACACAGGCAGAGGGAGACATAGGCTCCATGTGGGGATCCCAGTGCGGGACTCGATCTTGGGACTCCAGGACCATGCCTTGGGCCAAAGGCAGGCGCTAAACCGCTGAGCCACCCAGGGATCCCCAAATTCTTTGAATTAATTTCATCCATTTTGTTTTTCACATTGCCACTAGAACACTTGAAATTAGATTTGTGTCTTCCATTATATTTCTATAGGGCAGAACTGATTAGGGCATCCATTACTACCCTGACATTGACCTTCTCAGAAAAACATGCAGGGATTAGGGTGGGATTTAGGGTGTTTGTAGTTTCTAACACCGTCTCTACCCACTGTGAGGAAGTCATATCACCCTCAAAGTCTCCATTTTCACATCTGTGAAAGAGGGATTATATTAATATCTACATCAAAGTTTGGGAAAATGAAATAACACACCTGAAGTACCTGGGTGGAGAACGCGAGATGTCCATACAGGTTAGCTGCTATCTTGCCTATAACTATTATTAAATGAGTCCCTCTCCCCTTTATAAATAGGGATGGTCCCTACCTAGCCTCCCTTTAAAAACTTAAAAGTCGTTTTTTTAATTAAAAGTCGTCTTGATCTCAGCGGAATGACTGTCTCTGGAGCCCACCACCTACATCCCTCCCGCAAATCCCAGGGCAGAGGGCTCTGAGGCTCAAAGAGAGAGAAGTCCAAGGTCACACCACCTGCTGGAAGTGGGGTTGTATGAAACCTAAAACAACGCTGTGATTCTGTCCTTGAGGTCTTCAATTAGGGTTCTCTGGTCAACCAGACACCACTAGTTTAGCTGGGGCGGAGGCGGGCGCTGAGTTTCTCCTACCCTTTAAGTTTCAATCGCCACACTGAATATGGCGGCGTCCTGAGCGTGGCCACAGGTCGGCCACGCTCAAGATGGCGACGCACTCCCGGCGCCGGTTCCGGTTCCGGTTGTTCAGGCCCCAGGCGGGATAAGCTGCACACGCTCGGAGGAGCCATGGCGGATGGGCCGGTGGCGGAGGTGCTGCTTCGGCAACTGGAGGCGGCGGATGGCGGCTTGGACAGCGCAGAGCTGGCGGCTGAGCTGGGCGTGGACCACCAGGCGGTGGTGGGCGCCGTGAAGAGCCTGCAAGCGCTGGGCGAGGTGAGTCGGGCCCCGTGATGCTGGGCCTCCTCGCTCTTGCCGTCCCCTTGCCCAGAAGACCCTGCCTGCTGAAGAATCCTTCGGTAGCCCAGCCTAGGGTGGGCAGGCAGGGAGTCTAGAACAAGTAAGAGCCCAGGAGCACTGACGTTCTGCACTCAGTAGATGTCCATTGAGATATAGTAGGCATGGGGGAAGGCTCGATGGTGGACAAGGAAGACGGTGGTCACCGCCCTCACAGAGGTTACGGTCTAATGAGGGAGATACTCAGGTGACCCTTAGAGTGATGAAGGAAATACAGGGAATCCAGAGGTGACAGCTGGCCCAGGCATGGGAATCAAGGAGAACGTCCAGGAGGAGGTGACAGCTGAGTCGGGCCTCTGCATTGAGGAAGAAAGCTTCAGGGATCAATGGCAGAAAGGGGAAACAGGTGTTGAAAGGCATTAGTAGAGGCAAAATTTGCAAGGCCTCGTAGGTCTCGATCTCATGGAAAATCATGGCAGGAGCTGGAGCCAGTCAGATATGTGTCCTGTCTGTGTCCCTTTGGCGCAGGATTGAGAGGGACAGGACTGGTGGTGAGGCAGGCACATGCCCAAGGTAGAGGGCATGGTGTCTGGTTGTAGGGAGGCAGGTGGAATGGAGAAGATTCAAGAGAGGGAATGAAAGGAGATTCATGGCAAGTCAGGGGGAGCAAGAATGAAGCCCAGCCTTTTTGACTTAGACGAGTGAAAGGTGATGGAGCCATAGAAGAATGATTATCAGAGGCCTGTGGGCGACCCAGGAGGCTGGATTCTCGAGGCTACGAATCAGAAAACCTAACTGGGCAGCATATTCATCAGCTCATGTTCTGTGCCCCACTTTGGTCTCAGCTTTATGTAGCATCTAGTCTTTGTCATTATCCCACGATGGTAGCACTGATATCTCCATTTTGCAGACAGGACATCTTCTGAGCACTGGTCAGTAACTGGATCAGTGTCACTGGAAGGAGCAGGCAAACCTGGATTTTAAATTAAGCTTTCAGGCTGCAGAGCCTGAGGTCATCAATGCAGAGAGGGGATCCTATGTGGTGTGATAGCACCTGGATTCCTGTGAAATTGACTTGGGTTGGTCACAGTAGGTTTAATAGTGGCTGTTTATTGTGGTTCAGTCTAATGACAGTGATAGTAATAACGACAATGATGGTAATAGTTGGCAGAATGCACACAGTATTTGGTAGGTACTGCTAAACATCCTATGTCTTTTCCATATGTTAATTTAATAATTACTCATGAAAGCTTCCTGGGGGTAGAGCCCGTTGCATCTTTCTCTCTGGGATAAGAAAACTTGCTCAAGGAAGTTAAGCAACTTTCTCGAGGTCATACAGGGAGTGAAGAGCAGAGCTGAGAATTAGAATGAATAGGGAGCTAAGCCCTGTGGGCCCCACCCAGCCTTGCTCCTCTGTGCATGGCCTAAACCCATCCTCATCATGGAGCTTTGTGTTCCTGTGTGTAATGTGGACCCAGGGGCCCTTTTCTGACACTCTGGGCACTAAGATGTGAACACATTAAAGGTGGAGACGAATCAGTTCACCTGGGACCTCAAAAATCTTTCTCAGATTCAAAAGCAATAGGAAGAACTTATTTTCTGTTAGGAACCATTCTTAGTACCTTACCTCACCCTGGGAGATTTGAGCCATCTGTGTTGTTATTCTGGTGTCACAGAAGGGAAACTGAGATTCAGCAAGGGGTGCTCACTCAGCTGGGAAGTGGTGCAGCTCAGATGTGAAGCTGGCTTCAGGTACTGTGCAACCGGAGTGCTGTAGAGAGGGCGTTCCTGCCTCTGAACCCTGTCTCTGTGGGTCTTCCCTTCCCCATTTCCCTGCAGATCATTGAGGCTGAGCTGCGTTCCACCAAGCGCTGGGAGCTTACCGCTGAGGGCGAGGAGATAGCCCGGGAGGGCAGCCATGAGGCACGGGTGTTTCACAGCATCCCCCGGGAGGGCCTGGCCCAGAGCGAGCTCATGGTAAGATCCTAAGGGCAAGGCATGGGAAGTGATGGGTTGAGGTGGCCCTCATGCTCTGCTCACTGTGGTCTTGCTCCCCCAGCGACTTCCCAGCGGCAAGGTGGGCTTCAGCAAGGCCATGTCCAACAAGTGGATCCGCGTGGACAAGAGTGCAGCTGATGGGCCCCGGGTGTTCCGAGTGGTGAGTCCCTGCCTGCAGGGGGGCAGGCAAGCAGGTGGGCCCCTGGCCCTCACAGCCTATTACACCCTTCATCACGGCAGGTGGACAGTGTGGAGGACGAGGTGCAACGGCGGCTCCAGCTGGTCCAAGGTGGGCAGGCTGAGAAGCTGGGTGAGAAGGAAAGGAGTGAGCTCAGGAAGAGGAAGCTGCTAACTGAAGTGTGAGTGGATGCCCTCCCCCCATTCCATTCCGCATCACCCAAATGGTCCTAGGGCATGGTGGACAGAGTCATCCTGCCCATACTGGGCCACAATGCTATCAGTGTTCCCCCAGCACTGCTTTACGATCTACTCATGCCAGGCTCGTGCCACCTCAGGGCCTTTGCTCATGCCATGACTTCTGCCGAGAACTGTCTTCCCTTAAGCCAGGCTTGGGCATCAAACCTCTGTCTGTGTGTGTGTGTGTGTGTTTGTTTGTTTGTTTGTTTATTTATTTATTTATTTTTACAATTTTATTTATTTGAGAGGGAGAGCAAGTACGCATGAGAGAGAGCATAAGCTGAGGGAGAGGCAGACAGAGAGGGAAAGGCTGACTCCCTGTTGAGCAGGGAGCCCAAAGTGGGGCTTGATCTCACGACCCTGGGATCATGACCTGAGTGGAAGGCGGATGCTTCACTGACTTAGCCACGCAGACATCCCTGTGTGTCACCTTAAAGAGGCCATCCTTTAAAAAAAAAAAAAGGCCATCCTTGCACCCCTTTCTCCCTTTGAGTTCCATAAAAGCTGCTCACTTATTTTTTTAAGATTTATTTATTTCAGAGAGAGCAAGCGAGCAAACTTGAGTAGGGGAAGGGCAGAGGGAGAAGCACACTCCCCGCTGAGCAGAGAGCCTGACATAGGGCTCGATACCAGAGCACTGGGATCATGACCCAAGGCGAAGGCAGACATTCAACCAACTGAGCCACCCAGGCGCCCCAAAATCTCCTTACTTATACTCTGCATATCGGATGCCATGTTTGTTTCCTTTATGGCTCTGATGTCAGTGTCTGAAATTGATTGAATGTTGGGACTTGGACAGGCCAGGGGCTTTGCTCTCACAGGGCTGATATACCCTTTGATAACTTAGTGGCATAGCAGTTTTGAGGTTACAGACTGGAGGAAGGCTGCCCAGTCCAGGTCATGGCTTTGGTCCTTATTAGTTTTGTGACCTTGACCAAGTCACCTGATCTTTCTGGGCCTCAGTTTCCTTATCTGTAAAACGACCTCTTTTTCATAAGACAGTGGGATGATTTCGGTGGAATAGAGCCCATCACGGAATAAACCCTCAAGAGTTTACCTGTTATTCTTAGTATGTATGTATGTATGTACGTTTAGTACTTTGAACAGACCCTGGCACATAGTAGATTCTCATTAGTTACTTGTTGAATGAGTAGGTGAGCGACAGAAGGATGTAGGTGTGAGCTAAATAAGAGGATTTCAGGTGATGATGAATGTCAGGAAGAAAATAAAGCAGAGGGACTTGGTGGCTGGTATTGGGGTCGGCATCCAGATATATTGCAGGAAACTTTTTGAAGGAAGTGACAGTGCCCTTCTCCTCTCTGACCACAGGACCCTGAAGACCTACTGGGTGAGCAAAGGCAGTACTTTTAGCACCAACATCTCCAAGCAGGAGACAGAGCTGAGCCCAGAGATGATCTCCAGGTAGGGGGTGGCCCCAGGAACTGGGTCAGGTCAGGGAGGGAGGGGAGCCTTCACCGGGCCCATGCACCCTGCATCCCCCAACAGCGGCTCCTGGCGGGACCGGCCCTTCAAGCCATACAACTTCTTGGCCCGTGGCGTCCTCCCAGACAGCGGCCACCTGCATCCTCTGCTCAAGGTCCGCACGCAGTTCCGGCAGATCTTTCTGGAGATGGGGTGAGCACAGGGCCAGGGGGTGGGGCCGACCCAGCCACTGGGCACAGGCAGGACAGTCAGGCTGCATCTCCCTCCAGGTTCACAGAGATGCCGACTGACAACTTCATTGAGAGCTCCTTCTGGAACTTTGATGCACTTTTCCAGCCCCAGCAGCACCCGGCCCGTGATCAACACGACACCTTCTTCCTCCGAGGTTGGTGGAACTGGCCGTGCCACCAGAGGTGCCAGGACTGGGCAGAACTTTTTGGAGAGGCATATTCATTTTACAGAATAAATTCTATCCTCGGTGTGGCTGACTGGGCTGGTGTGAGCAGGTCCTCTTGACTTCTGTCACCTCCTCCCACATCCTGCCTGCCCACTTCATGGCCCTTGCCCGAGCTTCCAGGCAGTTCTCTGCTGAGAATTGCCTTCTCCCAGATCTTCAAGGCTGGCTCCAGCATCAAACCTTGGCTGACGGGGGTCACCTCACAGAGGCCACTTTGACATGCCCTTGTCAGGGCAGCCCGGGTGGCTCAGCGGTTTAGCTCCGCCTTCAGCCCAGGGTGTGATCCTGGAGACCCCGGATCGAGTCCCACATCAGGCTCCCTGCATGGAGCCTGCTTCTCCCTCTGCCTGTGTCTCTGCCTCTCTCTCTCTCTCTCTCTCTCTGTGTGTGTGTGTTTCTCATGAATAAATAAATTTAAAAATCTTTTAAAAAAAGATGACATGCCCTTGTCACCTTGAGTTCTAAAAGTCCCTCATCCCTAGTCTTGAAGCTTGTTTCCCAATTTTTTTCTTTCTTAATTTCACAGTGTTTAGTTCTGTCTGAAACTGAATGATTTTCCACAGTCGTTTTCTCCCCACCCCCAACTGCATCCAGTCCCCCAATTCTCCACTGCAGGAAGGCAGGGGAGGCCAGTGGGTGCCTGTTACCTGGCTAGGAGCAACAATGGCATTGCTGTCGTCATTGTCACAGCGCCCAAAACTTAATAAGTACTCACTGTATACTCTGTTCTTTTTTTTGTTTCTTTTAAGATTTTATTTATTCATGAGAGACAGAGAGAGAGAGGGGCAGAGACATAGGCAGAGGGAGAAGCAGGCTCCCCAAAGGGAACCCAATGCAGGACTCGATCCCAGGACTCCAGGATCATGCTCTGGGCCATAGGCAGACACTCAACCACTGAGCCACCCAGGTGCCTCCCATACACTCTAATCTCTGTTCTAATTCTGCAAATTGTAGGAAGTAGTGCTGTTAGCTCTCTTTTACAGTGGATGAAACTGGGGCTCAGAGTCACACAGCTTATACATAGTAGAGCTGGGATTTGATGTCAAGCTTTTCAGGTGCACCAAAATTATGTTTCTGGAAGGGGATCCTAAGAACTTGCCCATTCTCAGGGATGCCTGGGTGGCTCAGCAGTTGAGCGTCTGCCTTCAGGCCAAGGTCTTTGTTAAACATCTAGGTTACAGCCATGAATGAAACATGAAGTCTTTGCCCTGGTGAGACCTGTGTCCTGGTGGATAGATGTATATTAAATCCTGAGTGCTAGACAAATGCAGTAATGCAAGGTGGCAGTAGACACAGTAGAAACTGGTGTGAAGGCGGAAGGGCCTGTGGATTTAAAACCAAGCCTTTGTTTAAAGGCCAAAGGAGGTGAGGGAGAAAACCTTATCTGAGAATGAAAGTTCCAGGAGAGAATGGCCAGTGCAAAGGCCCTGAGGCTGGAATGTGCCTGGTATTGCTCACAGATCAGGTGGGAGGCCCTGTGACTGGAGGGAGTGATCAGTTAGGAATGAGAGGCGACAGGACAGTGTAGCCAAAGGGAGGGCTTTGTTCCCACCCCTGGGAGATGGATGGAGGGTTGTGATGGACTTGGGTGTTCCTAGGCACCCTCTGGCTGCTGTGGGTGTTAAGAGTGGGAGCGACACATGTAGCTGTTTGTCCTCTGTACAGAGGCTGTTTGAGAAATGCTCCTTGACTGACACGATTATACTCTGTCCTGCCCAGATCCAGCGGAGGCCCTGCAGCTCCCAATGGACTACGTCCATCGGGTCAAGCGGACTCACTCTCAGGGTGGCTACGGCTCACAGGGGTGAGGCAGGACCAGGACTTTTTTGGGGTATCAGGGGAAAGAAGTTTGGTGGTCTGAAGGCGACAACGCGGACTTCCCATGTGTCCTTCTAAAGGTACAAATACAACTGGAAGCTAGAAGAGGCCCGGAAAAACATACTGCGCACGCACACCACGTCTGCCAGCGCCCGTGCTCTCTACCGCTTGGCCCAGAAGGTGCAGCTCAGCCTGGGCGGTGGGGGAGGCAGGGGGCTGTCCCAACGACCTTCTGACCTCCCAGGCCTGGCCTACCTGTCACCCCCAGAAGCCCTTCACACCAGCCAAGTACTTCTCCATTGATCGTGTGTTCCGAAATGAGACCCTAGACGCCACACACCTGGCTGAGTTCCACCAGATTGAGGGCGTTGTGGCCGACCATGGCCTCACCCTGGGCCACCTCATGGGCATCCTGCGGGAGTTCTTCACCAAGCTGGGTAGGCAGGCAGGCTGCGGTGGACGGTCTGGTGGAGCCTCGGCAGGAGGCCCTGCTGGCAGGCTTATCTTCCACTCCTCTGCTTGCCCCCCTGCCTCCCCTGCCCAGGTATCACCCAGCTGCGCTTCAAGCCAGCCTACAACCCCTACACGGAGCCCAGCATGGAAGTGTTCAGCTACCACCAAGGTCAGGGCGGAACCTGGTAATGGGGTGGGGAGGGATGTGTCAGCCTGCCCACAGCTAAGCCTGGGTCCCTGTCACTGCCAGGCCCACCCCCCAGATCACTGCCAGACCCAGCATCATCCACACATCTGCCCTACCTTCTACCACCCCTATAGGTCTGAAGAAGTGGGTAGAAGTCGGGAATTCTGGGCTCTTCCGCCCCGAGATGCTGTTGCCCATGGGGCTCCCTGAAAATGTGTCAGTCATTGCTTGGGGCCTCTCCCTGGAGCGGTGAGTGCCCAAACCACTTAGAGTGTCTGGCTGCCACTCAGGTGACTTGCTGGGCACGGGGGCCTACAGACCTTCACACCATTCCATCTGTTCTTCATTTGAAAAGCCTTTAGTGAGCGTCTGCTATGTGTCATGCTAGGAGTATGACAGCACACATCTGTGCCTCTGCAAAGCTAGGGTTATAGCACAGTGAGAAAGATGGTAATTAGCAAGATAAATAAGTAAATTGGACAAGTAAAATTTAGAGTGTGTCTGAAGCCAGTAGGTGCTACAGAAACAGCAGGGAGGGCTGAGACAGGATTGTCAGGGAAAGCTTCCAGGAGGATGTAGCATCTGAGCAAAGACTGGAGGTAGATGAAGGGGTAAGCTGGGGGCCTATCTGGGGAAGGGTGTTCCAGGCAGCAGGAATAGCCAGTGCAAAGGCCCTGAGGCAGGAATGTGTGTGCTGTATTTGGAGAACATTGAGGGGGCCAGCGTGGCTGGAGAGAGTGAATAAGTAGAATGGAAGGAGATGAGGGTGGGGAAGTGACAGGATAGATCATTCGGGGCCTTCTGAGCCCTGAGAATAACTTGGGCTTTTAAGGAGGTGGGGACCATCGGAGATGGCTTGGTTGATCAGAGGAGAGCGTGACCTGACATAGCATCAAAACTGTTTTCTTCCCTCCCCACTGCAAGCCCGACAATGATCAAATATGGCATCAACAATATCCGGGAGCTTGTGGGCCACAAGGTGAACCTCCAGATGGTGTACGACAGTCCCCTGTGCCGCCTGGATGCTGAACCGGGGCCCCCACGGACACAGGGCGCCGCATGACATGGGCCACTCTGGATACCTGCCTTCCCTGGGCCCCAGCTGTCCAGCCCCCTTGCATCCCTGCCAGTGACCCCCTTGTATTTATAAGGCCTCCGTGAGGCCATCCCCCCCACCCCCGTTCCTGGTATCTCCTCTTCCTCACCTGCCCCAAGGTCCCAGGGGCAAGGGAGCAGGTAGCAGGTTTGATCTATGAAGGTGGGAGCCCTGCAATCCAGCTGCTGGCTAATAAAGTGGGCATTTGTCCTCATATGGTGCCTTTCCTTAGGGGTGGAGGAGTGCTAGAGCCCTGGGTGTGAGGAATGGTGGGTTGGGGGACTTGGATCCTCGGCAGCACCTGGCTTGCCTGAGCCAGATCCACCTGGGGAAGGCTAGCTCCATTAAGCATTTTCCCATCACCTGGTGGTGCCAGGCTCTCCTCTAGGTGAATAGAACAGAAGTCCTGTGGAAGGGGCATATAGGAGGGGAAGGCCAAGACAAGTGCCATGATTCACTCTGGGAGCCAGGCATGGTGGGGTGACTGGGGGGCAGCTTTAGATAGGTGTTTGTACTTTTTTAAAGCGTTTCTTTAAAGCTGCCCCCCCCTTTCTTAAGCAGTTTCTGGTTCACAGCAAAATTGAGTGGAAAGTAGAGGACTTTTTCATCTACCTTCTGCCCCCCCCCCTCCACAGCCTCCTCACAACCAACAGCCTCACCAAAGGGGTGCATTTCTTACAGTGAATGACGTACACAGACACATCCTGATCACCCACGATTCATGGTTTGTGTTGTGGTTCATGCTCCATGTTCATCCCCTGGGTTCGGACAGCATTTTCACTCCCAGAAAAGTCCTTGGTACTCCACCAATTCATCTCTCCATCCTCCCCCTAAAAAGCTGTTTTTTGGTTTTGTTTTTTTTTAATGATCTAAGGATTTCACAGGAGGGAGATGAGTAGGATAGAGCTTCATGAACCCACATTGAACAGTGTGAGCAGGATCCCTGTGTCTGTGGAAATATTTTGAAGTAAATCTCAGTCTCCGTGTTGCTCCCCTCACGTCTTCAATGTCAGCGCACTCGGAAACGTGAAGTTTTCTGGAACCATGAGGCCACCGTTAACAGCCAGCACAGTTGGCAGCTGAGGCTGTAGGCTTTTCTGGTCCCAGGGTGTATGGTCACCAATCTCCCAAGGGCTACCCAGTCAGGTTTTTTTTTTTTTCTTTGTTTCAAATTAAATAATTCAGACATACAGAAAAATAACTCATGCAACAACAGTGCACCTCCTGAGTGCCAGCAGTATCATGAGCTAAAGACTCAGCAATAGGCAAAGCTGACTCAGGTCCCTGCCCTTGGGAGCTCCCAGGGGGAAGGGAGTGCATGGGGGCCATAAACAGGTAAGTTGCAGAAATGAAAGGAGGGATAAAACCCCAGAAAAGTGAAGGTGGGTGGGTAAGAAGAGTGTATAGCATAAAATATAAAGCCTAATACATCAAGCACCTAGGAGTCTGCCCCCAGTTTGATCAAATCTGAACATTGACCATATTTGTTTTGGATCTTCCGCATTTTAGATCTGTGACTAATGTTCTGAAGACCCTATGGGCTTGTCCTAGTTCCTTTTGCCAGCACCTTGCTAAGATTGCTCCCTCTTGAATTTGGTGTTTATCTTCTGTGTTTTTAAATTTTTGCTGCTATATATGTTCCTTTAACAAGACAGGCTTGATTTTGCTTATTTTCAGAAGTTCTACAAACCCTGTACTATAAAAAAAAATCGTCCTGCATATTGTGTTGCTTTTGTTTCTTTTCAGTGTGTGTGTGCATGTGTATGTCCTTAACAGTAAATCTTTTGAAATTTTTGATTTGAGTAGATAACTCAAATCTCCAAACCTGGTACTGCACGAAGGTACATTTTGCTTACGTTGTGGCTTTGCCACAAGATACTAATGTTAGCTGCTGTTTACTAAACTCATTGTGTTCCAGTTTAGATTTTATTGCCTCAGTTATAGGCAAAAATGGATTTTGAGACTGAGTGGCAGTTTTATGCCCTGCTCCCAGATCTCTAGTTGGTAAGAGACCAGATTCCTTTTTTTTTTTTTAAGATTTTATTTATTTATTCATGAGAGGCAGAGGCACAGAGGGAGGAGCAGGCTTCCTGCAAGGAGCCCAATGTGGGACTGATCCCAGATCCTGGCATCACACCCTGAGCCAAATGCAGACGCTCAACCGCTGAGCCACCCAGGCATCCCAAGCGACCAGATTTCAAACCACATTCTCCAGAATGTAGGTGTCAAGATGTGTGTGCCCTAGTCATTGTGACAGGTGACAAGAGTCCTGCACAGGCTTCCTGCTGCCTCTCCCACATGGACATTGACACGTGTCCCAGAGAGCAGCCCTACCTCCTTACCAGTGAATCGGAGCAAAAGCCAAACCCCCTTGCTTTGGCTCCCAGCCCAGTCCCTGCCTAACATTGATCTTTCACCCATAGCCTCCCCCAATCCTTGTTCTTCCTCCCTCCCAGGCCTGGCTGCTCCTCAAGTACACGGAGTTTGCACCCACCTCAGGACCTTTGCACATGCCTATTCAAATCTTTTGCCAATTTTTAAATTGGGTTGCCTTATTGAGTTGTAAGAGTTCTTTGCAGATGCTGGCTAGAAGTGCTCAGAAATATGTTTAGCAGTATTTTCTCCCACTCTGGCTCCTCGGGTGCCAATTGTTATAGTTGTCACCATTAAGGTAATATTGCTAGTAGTAGTAGTAGTAGTAGTAAGGGACATGGGCCCAACTCCGTAAAGCCAAACTCATCAGGTTTTTAAGGAGCTTCCAGTGCTGGAGTGCACAGGTAACTGATTCAAGATGATACTGCAAAAACTTTTTCACTGAGGACAATAGGTCATAATCAAGAACAGGAACGGTCAGGATTTTTCTTTGCAAAGATTTCTTGGGGCAGCGAAGATAATCGACACCTAAGAATAAACGCAGCGGCCAATCGCTTCCCTCCACCTGAGTAGGGCCCGGGATCCTCCCACAAGGGGGACGCACGCACACAGACCACCCCCTCCTCCGGGCGCCGCTGGCTGCGCGCGCAGCCCCTGGGACAGCCCAACCGCCGGTTAACGGTCGACTCCGCCCCGCTGCGCGCGCAAGTTCTCAAAAAGAGGCGGAACCAGGAGCGCGTGATGCCGCACGTGCGCGGGGGCGGGGCGAGCCAGGGGGCGGGGTCGGCGCGTGCGCAGAGGGCTCGAAGGAGAAGGCGGGAAAAGACAGAATGGAGCGACAGGGAGTACGCGGCGCTGGTTTCCCTTCGCGCGGGCGGCGGGCGGACGGACGGGATACTGCCGCGATCTCGGACTTCCCTGGCGGACCCGAACCGGGCCGCTTGTCTCCTGCCATCAGGGCCACTCCTCGCTAGGCCGGGCCCCGATTTCCTGACTGACTGACCAGGCCCTGACTGACGGGACTGTGTGACTGACACGCTGACAGCCCAGGCCAGAAGGACAGACCCTGACGCATGGCGCGTGGCAGGCGCAGGGTAGAGAAAGACTCAGATACCCACGCGCCGCACTCTTTCCTTTTCTTATTTTTCTCCTACCTCTTCCCCTTCCTGGAAGGACTCGAGCCGAGGCACATACCAGTTAGCCCAGCGCCACTCCCCTCACTCCAGCCCCTCCAGGTCTCCCGGCCAATGTCCTCGGGCGCTCCAGGCGCAGGGCCGCCCCACCGCACGCCCCCGACCTCGTGGTGCCCATCCCAGCCCCGCGCACCTCTCCTGGGGGTCCCCAGCCATCCGCAGGGGCAAACGGAGGTGCCCGGGGTCGAAGGGGCAGGAGGAGGGACCCCTTCTCGCCCTCCCTCCTCTGGCCTCTCAAGCGCTGGTTGTGCTCACAGGTGGACATGCCTCACGTAGAGTGCAAGGACCAGGACCCACAGCTGCTGGGGGAGAGCAAGGAGCAGCCGCAGGGCGAGGAGAGCCGCGAAGAAGAAGCTGGTCGAGGGCCAGCTAGGTGAGGAAGCACTCGGGCCCACGGTGCACACAGACCCCTAGTCCTTCTTGTTCACCCGATTCTTCCACGAGACCCTGCCAGCGTCCACTCTGCGTGCATTTGCTCCGCCTACTGGTCGGGCGTCTACCACGTGCCTGGCATGGTTCCATGTGTTGGGACGGAGTAGTGAGAGGACAAGGCAGCTGGTAAACTTGGGAGTATCTAGTAGTCCGGAGATAATAATACTGTGGGGGTGGGGGGCCGAATAAGGAGAGAGTGCCAGTTTCTTTATTTTTAAAGATTTGAGGTTTATTTTTAAGGTTTTGTTTTTTTATTCACGAGAGACAGAGGCAGAGGGAGAATCAGGCTCCCTGTGGAGAGCCTGATGTGAGAGTCCCAGGACCACAGGATTGTGATCTGAGTCCAAGGCAGCCGCCAATCGCTGAGCCACCCAGGTGCCCCAAGGGAGTGCCAGTTTAGAGCAGAGGGTCAGGAAAGCCTTCATGGAGGAGGTGACAAGGGAACCATGAGGGTAGGCAGAACTATGCTCTAGACAGAGGAACAGTACCTGCAGAGGCTGTGAGGAGGACTGTGTTGGAGGAGCCTAAGAGGGAGATAGGAAGAGATGCAGTCAGACAGGTTAATGGGACTTTGGGTGTTAATTACCCATGGACAGGTTTGGAATAGAGTGACATAGCAAGGACTATTGTTAATAAAGTTTTATTGGAACACAGCCAAGCTTGGCTATGGCTGCTTCTGCAGAGTCAAGTTTTTTGCAGCAGAGACAACAGAACCTTACAAAGCTGAAAATTTACTCTCTGGCCCTTTATAGAAGTTTGAAGTCCTCTGGGCTAAGGTATTAAAAGCCTCTTTCTGGCTTCCATGTAGAGTATAGATTATTGAGGGGAAGAGTAGACGCTGGGAGACCAGTGAGGAGGCAATTGGAATCATCTAGGTGCAAGATGACTCCAGTTTGGCCAATGATGGATCTGTTGAGATCATGAGAAGTCAGATTCTGGATATATTTAAGAAGATAGAACTGACATAAATTGCTTATGGATTAGTTTTTGGAGTTGAAAGAGCAGCATCAAGGGTGACAAAAAATGTTTTTGTCTTGAACGTGTATTTATTCAGCAAATATTTTTGAGGATCTGCTTTGGCCAGACACTGATGCTGAGCATGCAGAAGTGAACAAATCAGAAGTTCTACTCTCTTGAAGCTTTCTTTCACTTAGCAGCAGTATGCACTTAAGTTTCCTCTGTATCTTTTCGTGGCTTGATTGCTCTTTTCTTTTTAGTGCTGAATTATACATCATTGACTGGATGTCCCACAGTTTATTCACCTACTTAAGGATATCTTGATTGCTTCCACGTTTTGGGAATTCTGAATAAAGCCGCTATAAACATTCATGTGCAGGTCTTTGTGTGGAGTTAAGTTTTCAGTTCCCTTTGGCTAAATTCCAAGGAGTGCTATGGCTTGACGATATGATAAAAATATATTTCGTTTTGTAAGAGACTGCCATACTGTCTTCCAAGGTGGCTGTGCCATTTTACATTCCCATCATCAAGGAAACGGTGTTTCTGTTGCTCCACATCCTTGCCAGCACTTGGTGTTGTCAGTGTTTTGGATTTTCACCATTTAAATAAGTGTGTGGTCGTATCTCATTGTTGTGTTCATTTGCATTTTCCTGAAGAGATATGAAGTTAAACATCTTTTCATATGCTTGTCATTCATAAGTCTTTTGCGGGGAGGTGCAGATCTTTTGCCTCTTCTTTAATCAGGTCGATTGTTCCCTTATTGTTTTTAAGAGTTCTTTGTATATTTTAGATACTTGTCCTTTATCAGGCATGTGTTTCACAAAGATTTCCTCCAAGATTGTAGCTTATCTTTTCATTCTATTAACAGTTCCTTTTTGCAGAGCAGAAGTTTTTAATTTTAATGAAGTCCAACTTACCGATTTTTTTCTGCTGATATTATATCTAAAACGGTCCTCTAGATTTTTTTTCCTGTGATATCTTCCAGGAGTTTGATAGCTTTGTGTTTGACATTTAGGTCTGTGCTGTATTTTGTGTGAAAATATGAGGTCCGTGTCTCGTTTTTTGCCCATGGCTGTCCAGTCATTTAAGTGTCACTTGTTGAAAAGACTTCTTTCTCCATTGAATTTTCTTTGGTCTTTTGTCAAAGATCTGTTGACTACATATGTGTGGCTCTATTTCTAGGCTCTCTATCCTGTTCCACTGATCTATTATCTATTTTTTTTACCAGGGCCACTATTTAGATCACTGCAACTTAATAGTAAGTCTTGAGGCCAAGGCTCATCAGTCCTCCAACTTTGTTCTTCTACTTCAATATTGTATTGGTTATTCTGGGTCTGTTGCCCAGCTGATTTTCTAAAAAAAAAGAGAGAGAGAGATAATAATTATAACAGTAAAATAATGTTATTTCAACTGGTGGCAATTGCTGTTAAAAAAAAACAGAGTAGGGATCCCTGGGTGGCGCAGCGGTTTGGCGCCTGCCTTTGGCCCAGGGTGCGATCCTGGAGACCCGGGATCGAGTCCCACATCGGGCTCCCGGTGCATGGAGCCTGCTTCTCCCTCTGCCTGTGTCTGCCTCTCTCTCTCTCTCTCTCTCTCTGTGACTATCATAAATAAATAAATAAATAAATAAATAAATAAATAAATAAATAAATAAATAAAATAAAAAATAAAAAAAATTTAAAAACAGAGTAAGAAGCAGCTAGAGTGATAGGGAGTTTAGAGAAAATTTCTTTTTTTTTTTTAAGATTTTATTTATTTATTCGTGAGAGACACAGAGAGGGAGAGAGAGAGGCAGAGGGAGAAGCAGACTCCATGCGTGGAGCCCAATGAGGGACTCGATCCCAGGTCTCCAGGATCAGGCCCTGGGCCGAAGGTGGCACTAAACCTCTGAGCCACCAGGGCTGCCCTAGAGAAAATTTCTAAGGAGATCACATGAAAAGTACCAACCAGGAGGCCTCAGGGGAGGGGGACCCAGATTTTCCAGGAAGAGTGGAAGTCTCTGAGGTATGAATAAGCTTGGTATGCCCACAAAACAGTAGTAAGGTCAGCATATCAAGCACTGTGATTGGCAGCAGGGGGAGGTCCTGAGTCCACCAGACACATGCTCTCATACATACCCTCCCGGTGGTTCCATCGGACCGAGAGGCAAGTACTGAACAAGTACTGACACAGAAGAATTTGGGGTGTTGGGAAAACACCCCAGGGAAGCCAGCCCTGAATGGGGTGCCAGAGACAGCAGCCTTGAAGAAGCAATGCTGAATCAAAAGGTAAGGGAGAATGGAATGGATGTTGAGTGGCCATAGGGGTGGGAGAAGTTGCTGAGAAGAAGTTATGCGAAGCCCCTGTAGTGTTCAGGGAGCTGAAGGCAGACCAGTGTGGCTGGGTATGGGTGTGAGCACAAGAGGAGCACTGGATGGCTGGGCAGAGGCCAGATCATGGGCATTTTGTCAGCCACAGACTTTATTCGGAGGATTTTTTGAAAATAGCTTGAAATATAATTCACATACTATATAGTTCACTGACCGAAGTGTACAATTATTTTTTTTAAGATTTTATTTCTTTATTCATGAGAGACACACAGAGAAAGAGGCAGAGACACAGGCAGAGAGAGAAGCAGGCTCCATGCAGGGAGCCCGATGTGGGACCCGATCCAGGGACTCTAGGATCATGCCCTGGGCCCAGGGCAGGCACTCAACCACTGAGCCACCCAGGCATCCCTAAAATGTACAATTCAATTGTTTTTAGTACATGCACACAGCCATGCAGCCATCAACACTATCGACCTTGTAACACTTTGATCTCTCTGAAAAGAAACCTTATATCTCTAACCATTATCCACCGGGTTCTGCAACTTCCTCAGCCCCTAGTAACCACAACTTTCTGTCTCTATGGATTTGCTTCTGCTGGACATTTCATATAAGCAGAATCATACACTTCCATGGTCCTTTGTTTATTCATGAGAGAGGCAGAGACACAGGCAGAGGGAGAAGCAGGCTCCATGCAGGGAGCCCGACACGGGACTCGATCCCGGGTCTCCGGGATCACACCCCGGGCAGAAGGCGGCGCTAAACCACTGAGCCACCTGGGCTGCCCCACTTACATGGTACTTTGTGACTGGCTTCGTCCACGGAATAATGTCTTCACAATTTATCCATGCTGTAATGTATCAGAACTCCATTTCTCTATGTGGCTGAGTAATATTCTATATTATGGACCCATCGTGTTTTACTTATCCATTCATTGGTTGATGGACATTTGAGTTGTTTCTGCTTTTTGGTTCTTGTGAATAATGCTGCTGTGAATATCCATGCATGCATTTTGGTGTGGATATATATTTTCATTTCTCTTGTGTAGATACATAGGAGGGGAATCACTGTGTCAGTGAAGTGCCATGTTCTGGTTTCTGTTTTTAAAAGACACTGACTGCTTTGTGGAGAATGGAAGGGAGGGGGCATGAGTGGATTTGGGGGATCGGGTGGGAGGTTTCTGTGGGGGTCGCATCTAGCAGGGCAGATGGAGGGAAACTCTTATGGGGGCTAGGGGGGAGTGTTTAGTGAGGCAAGAGAAAGGGGATGAACTGAGGATCTCTCCCTGCTAGTGTGCTACCAAACAGTGAAAAGGCCAGTGTATCAGGCATTGTGATTGGCAGCAGGGATACCCATGCTGTGTTGTACTGGGGCCAGCTCCTCCCAGCTCCCACATCTCTTCCCAACATAGCATTTAGCGATTTTATGTTAGTAGCTTGAAATTGCCCATAGTGAGAGTCGGCACTATGGAAATTGGCAAACACTACAAATCAGGCCTTTTTTTTCCTCCCCCACGGAGAGCCACTTGCTAAATGTTTACTAGCACACCTCTTTCTCCCCACTTTGGACTGGTTTCCAGCAGATAGTGGTTTCCGTGGCAGAGGCAAGAACACAAGTTCCATTTTGCCCTTCTTGAGCTTGAGATAACTGGGGACATGCACATGAACACATACAGAAT